TTAATAATATATACTTAACTATATAATATTCTGACCATGTATCACAACTCCAGATTTCTCGAAATATTTTTTCTACGAGTATTTTATTATATATAATTATCATTCATGGCTATGAGATGCTATCATGTGGTATTTTTGGAGCTCATACTACTCTAAAGCATTCATGGGGATGCACTGGTACATTGGCCAAAATCGAGGTTTGTTTATGAGCTACTTCAAAACGTGGCACTATCTCAGCCCTCCAGACTCACCGACGTGGACAAGCCAGCATCGCACCGCAATCCGGCTGTCCAACCATCCTACACATACAGGACACCGCGATGCCAGCACACTCGCATGCATTCTCACCTCAGCTCTGCCCAACGGGACTTCACCGCGAACAGACATTTCTCGATGTTTGTTTCGCGCACCGTGCATTTTTGCGCCTCGAGAGAATCGAGGTACCAGTCTTGCATTGCATCCCTCTCGTATCCGATGTTTCAGAAGCGAGAGCATGTATGTCATAGCTTCTGGGGATGTTTTCCCATCATTTTCTGCTTGAGGCATACTCCAGCTCAGATGCGGGACAAGAGTTTCCATTCCTCTTCCTCGTGTTTCCAACTCAGTTGTCCAGCTTTCTAGCGTCCGCACATCGTCTTTTAGCATGCATATGACGTGTTACTTCTACGACTCGACTGCCCCTCGTAGCTTCCGTACGGTTAGCCTCGAAAGCACCGACTCCTTTAGTGGCCATGGCGCATATGCGACAGCTCTCGATTCTTCCAGTACGCCATGGTTCCCCTCCTTCTTCCACGATACTTCCATCTGTGCGTATAATAGCTGCGCAGGGCCTCTTAATAATTATTTGTCAGACACCTCGATTCCTCCCCTCTCGAACCCGCGAGGAGCCGCGCAGTGGCTCGTGAAGCTGTTTACCTCGAGAAGCTAAGGACAAACAGTTCATCTGACGCCACTGAGGTTACTCTGATATAACTCGAGAATCATTTGGGTCAACACCCGTTCCGCGAAATAGCACAACAGTATTACACTCTCGCACTGAAGCTTCACTACACTGAAGCTGCGTTATTATGGACGCTAGCGCGAGTGCCCTAGCTGCTTCTTCAACTAGGCTGTCGACGATCGCGCCGCCCCCATGTATGGCGGTCGTCTCACCGTCTCCTGTGCGCGCCCGTGCGAATCCTGCTTCGTTTGCCCGCTTTCACAGTGCATCCTCTGTTCCCAGGAGGAATTTGGCGCACAGGTCGTTGACTGTGCGCAGAGTTTGTAGCGCTGGTGGTAGCTACGCGCAGAGATTCCGCCGACCTCCCGCCATCTCCTGCGCCCTTGCGACCCCCCCGGATCCCGCGCCCTTGGAAGGGCCCGCCAAGGCGCTGGGCGGAACTCCCGTCACCCCCGCTGGAGAGCTCAATTCGGGGGAAGGAAACGCGAAGACTCTTGACGACTTTTTTGACTCGGAGGTGAAATCGCGCGACGAGTTCGTGTGGGAGAAAAACTGGTACCCTGTGGCTTTAATCGAAGACCTCGACCCGAGCCGCCCGACGGCGTTCCAGCTCCTAGGCCGCGACTTGGTGATCTGGCGCGACTCGCAGGGCATATGGCGGGCGCACGCGGACCGCTGCCCGCACCGCCTCGCGCCGCTCTCCGAAGGCCGATTGGACGAGAATGGGTTGCTACAGTGCCCGTACCACGGCTGGTCGTTCCGAGGCGACGGGACGTGCGCGGTCATCCCCCAAGCCTCGGACTCAGGCCCGGAATCCCGAGCCTGTTCCTCGTCCCGAGCCTGCGTAGCTTCGTACCCGGCCCTGGTTTCCCAAGGGCTTCTGTTTGTCTGGCCGGAGGAAGGGCGATGGGAGGAGGCTCTAGCTGTCGAGCCGCCGCGATTGCCGGACGTGTTTGAAGATGAGGGGTTTTCGAGTGTGACTATACAGAGGGACCTGTATTACGGATTCGATACGCTCATGGAGAACGTATCCGACCCTTCCCATATCGAATTCGCGCATCACAAGGTACGAGTTACACTGGGTACGCGTTACAAGGCGCAAATGGTATGGTTGTGCTCGTTGCAACGATGTCAAATATTACACGTTAGGGAAGTGAGTCATGGCGAACGATAGCAACCACTAGCAAGCTCACCCCCCCCCCCCCCCCCCCCCCCCCCCCCCCTCCTCCCCCCCTTCCCCCCAACCCCCCCTCTCCCTTTTTTTTTTGGCTTCTTAGACGGTCATCCAAGTAGATTGACCCTGGACTGAAAGTTTCCTCCTGCCCGTCTTGTTGCTCCTGGTTACCCTGTTACAGGTCACGGGGCGAAGGGACCGAGCCAAGCCGCTGCCCTTCAACATCACATCCAGTGGACCGTTCGGGTTTTCGGCCACCACTGACACAAGCACACCCGTTACAGTCACACCCGCTAATAGCCCCGATACAAGCACACCTGATACCACCTCTGCTGGTGACGGCTCAACACCTCGTATTTCCTCCTGGTTCATGGCACCCTGCTCCTTCTTCAGCCGAATCGACCTCTTCTCAACTATCCCCGTTATAGGCAGGCAGCACTGGCAGCTGTGGATCTGCTCCTTTAACGTCCCCATGGGTCCCGGAAAAACGAGGTCTATTGTTTGCAGCGCGAGGAATTTCGCCCGGCTGACCGTCCCTGGGGGCAAATGGTGGCAGCTGTACCCGCGGTGGCTGGAGCATCTCACATCAAATCTGATCTACGATGGAGATATGATTGTGCTGCAGGGTCAGGAGAAGGTTTTGAAGGGTGGAGGAGGGGGAGGGGGTGGGGTGCCGTATAGTAAGCTGACTTACACCCCAGCAGCAGCTGACAGGATGGTTTTGGCTTTCCGGAACTGGCTTCGTAGGTACGGTGGCGGTGAACCTGCTTGGGATCCGAGCCTAACTGCAGGTCCGGGAGGCGCCGCACCTCTCCCGTCCACGGTTCTGTCCCGGGCAGAAATGCTCGACCGGCTCGGGCAGCACACAGAAAAATGCTCCTCCTGCCGGGCAGCTCTGAAAAATGTGAGGAGGCTGGCTGCTGTGTTGGCAGGGGCAGCGGCGGTGCTTTTAGCAGCAGCAGCAGCAGTGGCGCCCGGGGAGGTAGTGGGGGTTGGAGGGAAGGCAGGGCTAGCAGTGGGAGCGGTGGTGGCGCTGGCAGGTGCTGCTTGGCTCAAGTATGAGCTTGAACCGCAGTTTGTTCATCGGGACTACGTGCATGCTGACGTGGAGTGAGCATGGGAGGGGTGTGGTGGGGAGGGGAGGGTGGGAGACTGGGAGTGTTGAGTGAGGTAGAACAGGTATGAGCTTGAACCACAGTTTGTTCATCGGGACTATGTGCACGCTGACGTGGAGTGAGCATGGTAGGGTGAGAGGTGGGAGGGAGGGGTGTGGTAGGGCGAAAAAGTGTTGAAAGGGGCGGTAGAAGTACGAGCTTGCACCGCAGTTAGTTCACCACCGCGACTACGCGCATGCTGATGTATAGTGTGACCATGGGAGGGGTGTGGTGGTGAGGGTGGGAGACGTGGAGTGTTGAAAGGGGCGGTAGTAGTATGAGCTTGCACCGCAGTTTGCTCATCACGGCGACTACGCGCATGCTGATGTATAGTGTGACCATGGGAGGGGTGAGATGGTAAGGGTGGGAGTCGTGGAGTGAGGATGGGAGGTGGGAGGGGTGTGGTGGTGATAGGAGTGGTGACAGTCCTGCTTGATGCAGTGCTGAGCTAGTGGTGTGGTGTGACTGAAGAGGATAGGTGAGTGTGAGGTGAAGAGGATAGGTGATTGCATCCGAATATCTCTGGGGCGAATTCGTATGTATGTGTACAGCTTGGTGCAGGGCCTGTGCTAGGATATAGGGCACCCTGAGCCCTCAGGGCAACTTTTGAAAACTCTCCAAAATGCCCTGATTTTTCAGGGCAAAATTTCCTGGCAATCCTGAAATTTCAGGGGACCAGCAGAAATTCATCCGGATGTTTCAGGGCAAAAAAATACAAGACACTAGAGTGGAGGGGAAGCCACGAGAGGAGCAGGTTGTTCAGTGGTTTCACTACAATGGGCTGAGCAAAAACCTTGGGGGGGGGGGACAAAACTAGCACACACACCCCCGAGCCTCCCTCCTCCCCTCTCCCCCTCTCCCCCCCCTCCCCTCCACCCCTTCTTCCCCTTCCAATGAGTCAGGGCATCCCTCTACATTCACCCTAACGCTTCAGGGCAAAATCTCACTGCCATTCTGAAATTTCAGGGCAAAACACATGAATCATCCTGACGTTACAGGGTAAATTTCATCGTCATTCTGAAATTTCAGGGCAAACTTAAAGCACCATCCTGAAATCAGGGTAATCAGGATGATTTGCCCTGATATCGTGGGCCCTGGCTTGGTGTGTGTTCCTTGCTTGTTGCCTACATGCTTGACAAAATTGTGTTCATATTACAGTTGTGTATGGCTAGGGAATAGCGTTGCAATGTGTATATCCTGTAAATAATATACATGTATGCTGCATTCACCATTGTGTAGCAATTTGAACTTAGCATGCGTGCGTCTCCATGCCAAATTACTTATCAACGGTATCAGTACTGACTAGATAGTACCTCTCAAAATCAAGTACCGGTGTCTTACAAATCACAAGAGAAACAGTAGCAGCAATACTGTTACAAGAGAATCAGTAGCCATCTTTTCAGGCCTTTGAACTAATCACCAGCACCCCTCGCACACCCACTAGTATTTACATCTGCTCACAGCTCTTACTACCACTCATATCCCCCCCGCTTCACTCCCCCTCTGCTCCCCTCTCCCTCCCCTCTGATCCCAGCTGCAGCAAATCTTCCGGTTACTCTGACCCTCCACACCTTCACTCACAGCGCATACCACTTGATGTGGATACTCCCCTTCACTCCCCCCTCTGCTGCTCCCTCCCTCCCCTCCAATCCCAGCTGCAGCAAATCTCCTGGATACTCCGACCCTCGTACCTTCACTCACAGCCCGTTCCACTAGATGTGAATGCCCCTCTTCACTCCCCCTCTACTCCTCCTGCCTCCCTCCCCTCCAATCCCAGCTGCAGCAGATCTTCTGGATACTCTGACCCTCGCACAAAGCGAGTGTACGACACTGGGAGGGGCAGAGAGGGGTTGGGATGGGTCAGAGAGCGAATGTAGAACGGTAAAGGGTGTGTGTTGGAAGGGGGGAGAAGACAGCGGAAGGAAATAGCTAACTCCACATAGCCATCACGTCTCTCTTCCTCCCCACTGGTGACTTTTGAGTTGACTCAAAAGCCCCAAGCTTAGTGCCTCAAACACGCCCCTCCCCAGAAATCCCTTCACACGCCCAGAAACCCCTTCACACGCCCTCTAACCGTTCTCAATCTTGTTGAGGCTCGCCAGCATGACATCCATCTTCTTTCCCATCTCCTTCCCCACCTCGCTGCTCCTGGGAAGGAGACTGAACCCTGCATATAGCTGGACCACCTCTGTAGTCCTGAAACCCCGTCATACATCCAGGAACCGCTTCACATGCCCAGGAACTCTCTCTCACCGTTCTCAATCTTGTTGAGGCTCGCCAGCATCACGTCCATCTTCTTCCCCATCTCCTTACCCAGCTCGCTGCTCCTAGGCAGCAGGCTGAACCCTGCATACAGCCTCTGCACGAACAACCGACACGCATCTGCATCCACCACCAATTCCCCTCTCCCCTCTCCAGCCTCTGCTTCAGGCTCGGCCGCGGCAACAGGTTCGGAGGCAGCCGCAGGCTCGGCACCTGAAGCCTTTGCTTGAGCCTCTGGTTGTTCCTGTTGCCTCTTCCCTCGCCTGCTGGTCCCTTTTCCAGTGGAGCCCGCACCACCATCACCACCACCCGCGTTACCAGCAGCAGCGCCACCACCACCGTCAGCAGCAGCAGCTGCACGGCTTGACACAGCTAGCCTCATGACTTCTCCGGTCAAATCAGCGAGCTGGAAGGGAGGAGGGGAGGCAGGGGAAACACGTAATGTATCATCTAAATACATACGTATACCCACATATATGTATATTTTCTGGTGTATACCAGGAAAAGTCCACTCACGGACGCACCACTTACCAAGCACTAATGCAGCACTCCCTCCGTCCTCACCCTTTTGCACTCACCCCCAACACATAGTCAGCAGCATGCACGTGGAAGGCTTGGCCCTCGCGGTCCAGAATGCCTTCAAACGCACCGTTCACCTGGGCAAGAGTGCAGTGGAAGGAGTGCAGAGGAGGGCATACAGTGTGAGCAGTATGTATGAGTAGCGTGAGCAATGCAGTACAGAGAGCATAGGTGGATAGGTAAGAGGCGCAGAGGAGGGCATGCACATGGAACGCTGCATTGCTCACGCTACTCGTATTGCTCATGCACATGGAACGCTGCATTGCTCACGCTACTCGTATTGCTCATGCACATGGAACGCTGCATTGCTCACGCTACTCGTATTGCTCATGCACATGGAACGCTGCATTGCTCACGCTACTCGTATTGCTCATGCACATGGAACGCTGCATTGCTCACGCTACTCATATTGCTCATGCACATGGAACGCTGCATTGCTCACGCTACTCATATTGCTCATGCACATGGAACGCTGCATTGCTCACGCTACTCATATTGCTCATGCACATGGAATGGCCGCCGCCCCTCCTGGGCATCCCCAGGTCCAGAATGCCCAGGATGGGCGGCGGCTGCACATGAAACACCTCTTGTGCTCTCCTGCGCAGGGCATGGCAAGGCAGGCCGCCAAGAATAGCAACAAAGTTGAGAGGCCAGCAGGGTGAATGAGGAGCAGAGAAGCCAGGAGCAGATGGGTGAGGCGCAGATGGGTGAGGCGCAGATGGGTGAGGCGCAGATGGGTGAGGCGCAGATGGGTGAGGCGCAGATGGGTGAGGAGCAGATGGGTGAGGCGCAGATGGGTGAGGCGCAGATGGGTGAGGCGCAGATGGGTGAGGCGCAGATGGGTGAGGCGCAGATGGGTGAGGCGCAGATGGGTGAGGCGCAGATGGGTGAGGCGCAGATGGGTGAGGCGCAGATGGGTGAGGCGCAGATGGGTGAGGCGCAGATGGGTGAGGCGCAGATGGGTGAGGAGCAGATGGGTGAGGCGCAGATGGGTGAGGCGCAGATGGGTGAGGCGCAGATGGGTGAGGCGCAGATGGGTGAGGAGCAGATGGGTGAGGCGCAGATGGGTGAGGCGCAGATGGGTGAGGCGCAGATGGGTGAGGCGCAGATGGGTGAGGCGCAGATGGGTGAGGCGCAGATGGGTGAGGCGCAGATGGGTGAGGCGCAGATGGGTGAGGCGCAGATGGGTGAGGCGCAGATGGGTGAGGCGCAGATGGGTGAGGCGCAGATGGGTGAGGCGCAGATGGGTGAGGCGCAGATGGGTGAGGCGCAGATGGGTGAGGCGCAGATGGGTGAGGCGCAGATGGGTGAGGCGCAGATGGGTGAGGCGCAGATGGGTGAGGCGCAGATGGGTGAGGCGCAGATGGGTGAGGCGCAGATGGGTGAGGCGCAGATGGGTGAGGCGCAGATGGGTGAGGCGCAGATGGGTGAGGCGCAGATGGGTGAGGCGCAGATGGGTGAGGCGCAGATGGGTGAGGCGCAGATGGGTGAGGAGCAGATGGGTGAGGCGCAGATGGGTGAGGCGCAGATGGGTGAGGCGCAGATGGGTGAGGCGCAGATGGGTGAGGCGCAGATGGGTGAGGCGCAGATGGGTGAGGCGCAGATGGGTGAGGCGCAGATGGGTGAGGCGCAGATGGGTGAGGCGCAGATGGGTGAGGCGCAGATGGGTGAGGCGCAGATGGGTGAGGCGCAGATGGGTGAGGCGCAGATGGGTGAGGCGCAGATGGGTGAGGCGCAGATGGGTGAGGCGCAGATGGGTGAGGCGCAGATGGGTGAGGCGCAGATGGGTGAGGCGCAGATGGGTGAGGCGCAGATGGGTGAGGCGCAGATGGGTGAGGCGCAGATGGGTGAGGCGCAGATGGGTGAGGCGCAGATGGGTGAGGCGCAGATGGGTGAGGCGCAGATGGGTGAGGCGCAGATGGGTGAGGCGCAGATGGGTGAGGCGCAGATGGGTGAGGCGCAGATGGGTGAGGCGCAGATGGGTGAGGCGCAGATGGGTGAGGCGCAGATGGGTGAGGCGCAGATGGGTGAGGCGCAGATGGGTGAGGCGCAGATGGGTGAGGCGCAGATGGGTGAGGCGCAGATGGGTGAGGCGCAGATGGGTGAGGCGCAGATGGGTGGGGCGCAGGAGGCTCAAAGAAAACCCGAGATTCCCTCCATGCCCACCCACCGCCTCCCACCGCCATCCACCGCCCCTTTCCCCCTCACCTGGGCGAGGGTCAGCAGGCGCCCAGTTTGGCGGAAGTGCAGGAACGATGCCGCCTCCACATACTCTTGCAACTGCGGGTGGGATGGATGCAGGGGGCAGTGGGGCAGGCGGAAGAGCGGAGAGCGAAGGGGTGGACGGCTAAGAGGACGCAGCGGAAATGCAGGAACGATGCCACCTCCACATACTCTTGCAACAGCCAGGGACCCAGGCAAAGGGAGAGGAGAGGGAGAAAAAACGTCGCCTCAGCAGATTCTTGCAGCGCCAAAACGGGAAAAGGGAGAAGTTCCAAAAAAGAGTGCTGAGGCGGTATGCCAGGGCCCCCCCTGGGCACTGATGGGATACAGTACCCTCTACTTAGAGCCCCTGCCCATCCTTCCCCACCCGTTTGCACCGCATCCCATCGCACACTAACAGGCCCTCCCCCCCCACCCCCCCCCCCCCCCCCACGTGTGAGCACGAGTGAAGCGCCAGTAGTCCTCTGCACTCTCAGCTCGCGAGCCACTTGGGCGATGTGATATCCAGGTGCGCCCATGCCCGCCCCACCCCACCCAATTCCACCGCATCCCATCCCACCCTACCAGCTCATCCACCCTCCACCCACGTGTACGCGTGTGTGAAGCGCCTATAGGCCTCTGCACTCAGCCCGCAAGCCAGCTGGGCGATGTGGTGTGCTCGTAGAAACCCCTGCCCACCCCATCCCACCCAATTCCACCGCATCCCATCCCATCCCATCCCTCCCCCGTTCGACCCACCCCCCACGTGTACGCGGGAGTGAAGCGCCAGTAGTCCTCTGCTTGCAATTCCCCTGCCCACCCCACCCCCTCCCATCCCACCCCACCCCACCCCACCCCACCCCACCCCACCCCGCCCCGCCCCGCCCCGCCCTGTCTCCCCTACACCCCTCCACCCACCCCCCACGTGTACGCGCGTGTGAAGCGCCAGTAGTCCTCTGCTCGCAATTCCCGCGCCACTTGAGCGATGTGGTGTGCTCGTAGGGAGGCCAGCTGCTGCGCGGCTGCTGCCAGGGCGCGCGGACTTGTGGCTCTGACGAGGAGGGGTGGAGAGGGGTGGAGAGGGGTGGAGAGGAGTGGAGAGGGGTGGAGAGGGGTGGAGAGGGGTGGAGAGGAGTGGAGAGGGGTGGAGAGGGGTGGAGAGGGGTGGAGAGGGGTGGAGAGGGGTGGGGGGTGGGACAGGGAGGGAAGGGGGGAGTAGATGTGTGGTCTGCGTTCAATTCGCGAGCCACCAGGGCGATGCCGTGGGCTCGCAGGGTAGGCAGCTGCTATGCTGCTGCTCCTGCCAGGGCGCACGGGATGGTGGCTCTGAGACAAGGAGGGGTGGAGTGAGGGCGGGGGGGAGTGGGGAGGTGTGGTTAGATGGGAAGTGTATGCGCTGCTGCACTGAGCTCGCGAGCCACCAGGGCGATATCGTGGGCTCACAGGGTAGGCAGCTGCTATGCTGCTGCTCCTGCCAGGGCAGCAGGCGTGGTGGCTCTGAGACAAGGGGGGTGGTGGGGAGAGGTGGGGTTGGGGCAGGGGGCAGAAAGACGTGTGGGTAGAAATGTGGTGTGGACTCAGTCATGCAGGTATGTTGAATCTGCTCTATGAGAAAAATATAAAAAAAAGATTCAGCACGCAGGTACAGAACGCAGGAGAGCGATGTGGTGGGCTCGCAAGGCTGCTGCTAGCTGCTGCTGCTGCCAGGGAGTGAAGTCTTGTGACGTGGTGATTGATTAAAACGGGCGAACTGGTTCCCGACACTGCGTAAACGGCACCATGCCACGTCATCACGCAACGTCAGCAGGTGCCACGTCAGCGCACCTGTGGATGGCGAATATGATCTTCTTGCTCTGTATTGTCACGTCCCGGCTCGCTTTCACCAGTCTCTCCCTCCGCTCGTTCTGCACGCGCGATGTGACACAAACGGGGGAAGGTGACAGAAACGAGCGAGAGAAGAGAGACGACGAATTCAACCGGGTGCAGCGACTGAACGAGGTGAGCCCACTTGCTTGAGGCTGAAATTCGGGTGACGATGCTCGTGGAGCAATTCTAGAAAGGGTCACAAGCATCTTCCGAATTCCTGCCGCACCCTCTACTGCAACGCACTATCTCGTCTAGAACCCGCGCGTAGCCCTCAAATTCCGCCGCGATTGACGGAGAGCCGTCGTCCTCCCCCATGTTGCCCTCTCCGCCCTCTCCGCCCTCTCTGCCCTCTCCGCCCCTCTCCGCCCCTCTCTGCCCTCTCTACCTTTCTGCCCTCCTCCTGGTCTGTTAGCCTTGGAAATACGAGTCACAGTGATGCTGCTAGAAGTAACGTCACCGTCGCGGAATAAGGGAGGCGCGATGGCGACAGGACAACAAGAGGCGACGGGCAACAAGCAGAAACCGAGAGCGGGGAAATGGAATGGAGGGTGATGGTGCGATGAATGTGAGTGGGCCCTCTCGATTGTGAAATTTCTCACATTCCGTACTCGATAAAAATATCCCCGTGAATTGAAGTTCAATGGGGTACATTTCTTGAAACAAGCACATCCTAGATAAATGCAAAACTCAGCACATGGAAGCTGAGCGAATAAATACAAGAAAGAGCTGCTACTTCAACGCACATAACACTACAACGTCACCACACAATTATAACGGAGCCATGCTCCGGTTAGGTGGTACATGTTCTCTAGGGCCATATACACATTCACCACCCCCCTTTGTATGGACACCTTTCCATCCGCCAATGCTACTTTCAAATGTATCCCTCTTCTGCCGTACCCAATCCCTCCACTCTAACCATACTACCTCAACCAACCCTAAACACTTGTAGACTAAATACACCACAATAGTTGGTGCCATTGCCACACCTCCACCACCCATCCCCCTTCTCCCCATCCACACAACAAGTGCCATAGCCCCCACCGCTTCATGATGCACATTCCCCAGCAAAAACGACAAGGCATGCAGCCCCACGCCGATCCCCAGGCCCGGCATTCCCCCGAGCCTCCATGCGACAGCTCCGGCAACTTTCAACCCGAGCCTCGTGTTAGCAGAGAGGATAAGGACCAAGGACAGCCATGCTAAAGTAGCGTTGGTACCATAAAGAACCCCGAGGATGATACTAACGAGGATGAAAACGAGGTCTGAGCCAAAAGACGCCCGCCACTCGGGCTGGAGAGGGGAGAGGAGGATGTGGAGGAGGGAGGAAGGCGTGTGGCGGAGGAAAGAGAGGACGAACCGGGCGTATGAAGCCAGAGGAAGGGTTGAAGCTTTGAAATACGGGGAAAAAACAGCAGCAGCAGCAGCAGCAGAAGCGGCAGCGGCAGCGGGAGTGGCGGGTGCATGATGCTGATTAGGCTCATCCCGCTGCCGTCTATTGCCTTCGAAAACCTTTTCTCCTGCCAAGGTTGCCCCTTGCTCCACTCCTCCTGAACCGCCCCCAGCTGCTGCTGCAACACCACCACCCCCACTGGCAGCAGCAGCAGCAACACCTCCTCTTCCAGAACTGCACTCATCTCCCTCCAACAGTCCCCCCTGTTCCAGCAACCCATCAGATCCAGCCTGCTCCGCTCCCCTCCATCTGCTCCTGCCTGCCTCCTGCCCTGCACCATCCCCTGTACGCCAGTCCAACTTGTCTCTTTGAGCGTGTCTCCACTTCCTCTCTCCCCCCCCATGCCCCTGCTCCTCCTCGTGTGCCTCATGCTCACCACGCCATGCTCCCCTGCTCATTCCCGTAGCGGCATACGAGGGGCTCATGCCGCCGCTGCTCCTGGTTTTGAACGCCGCAACACGCCGTGCGCGCTGCTGCACTGCCAGCGCCCACCGCGCGTGGAACAGCCACCGCAGGTACCACGCCGAGAAGATCGGGCACTCTGAGGTTGAGGCTTGGGCCGAACCTGGGCCAGGCTCGACGGAGGGCCGGACCGAGGCTGAGAACGCCCTGTCGAATGGGTCTAAGCTGGTGTGGTGGTACGGGAGGAGAGGACAAATCAACAAGTATGGGGTAACCATTGGGGTTAAAGGGTACCAAGAACGTGAACCTAATGAATATTGTGCTTGGAATATTTGGTGCTGCTGACCTGGCAGATGATCTGTGTGCTGACGTGGCAGATGACACGGACGACCAATGCCGCGGGGAGCTGCGATTGGGAGCACCAGCAACACGAACAGACGCGCCGCGAGCAACTGTAGCACCGCGACCAGCAGCCGCGCGACTCGCAGCAGTGCGAACAGAAGTTGCAGCGCGCTGGACGCTAAGGTCGTAGAGGCGCCGCTGTTGGTCGTCTGACAACACCTCGTACGCCGCCACTATAGCCTGGAAGGCTCGGGCCGAACCTGAGGCTTGGGACACGTCCGGGTGATACTGCGAGGAAGGACATGTGGAAGGTGGGGACGGCCGGGGAGTGGGCAGGGGAGGTAGCAGGGGAGGGGGCGCGGAAGGGGGCGAGGGAGGAGGCAAGGGAGGGGCGGTAGGAAGGGGGGTGATGGAGTGTGCGAGGTGAAAATTGGGGTTACACACAAGGGGCCGAAAGCGCAATGCGACACATCGCAGACATCGCGAAGGACGGCGCGCTTATGACCGGCGACGTTCTCTCTCAATTTCGCGTACCTTTCTCGCCATTTCCCGAAACGCCTTTTTTATTTCTTGTTTGTTCGCGTTATAAGGGACTCCGAGGGTTTGGTACAAGTCCGTCGCGGCTCGCACGATCACCGCGCTCCTGGGTCGAGCGCGGAGAGGCTCGGAAGAAGAAGGCTTGAGGGGCGTCCCGAGGTTCGGTCCGAACCGTGACCTGAGGCTCGGTCCGAGGCATTTCGCCCGGGGCGGAGGCTCGGAAGCGGATAATTTAGCCGAAGAGGGAGGGTAGCGACGCTGCGCCGTTGCTTCGCGAGCGGCTTCAAACGCGCAGACCGGGCCGCTATTGGCCACTGCGAGAGACATTGTCCTGACTCGTCCCTACATTTAATTGATTTCAATAATAACGGCTACATAAGGCGCAATGAAAGTCATTCTAGGTTGTGTAAGGTCAAGGTAAGGGCATGACGCTGCGTTCTGTAACGCATACACTCTCTTGCGACGGGACCTCCTCCTCTCTCAGCCCAAACGAGCTGTATAGACGAGCTGAAAATAGTAAGGACACGTTTCGAGTCGCTTGATGAACTGAGCTGAGGAATAAACGTCTATAATACCACGAGACGAGGCATCAACATCAAACATCACCACTCGCCACACCACTCACTTTTCTCCCCTCTCGCACACCGCTCACACGACTTCACGACCAACCTACCTAGACACGAGCAATGAGGGGCGAGGGGAAATACCCAGAGAGCTGAGGGATGGGTGGGCGTTTACGCATTGGACGAAAATTGATTTCCTAGGCGCGAACTCAAACCTCAAATGTGATCTGCCCGCATCGAAACGCAAAGATTTGTTCCGACGATAATACGGTGCGGAAGGTGCCAGAAGCATAATGGAGAAGCGATTTGCGTCCCAGAAGTGTCAACTTTTATTCCTAGAAATCTCTAAACAACATAAATGTTTAGGAACGCCAGTAGTAACTTGATGTGATGTGTTGTTGGGCGGGCAGACTTGTCACCTTTTGGCGCAAAGGCTGGATGAGGGCACAAGGCAGGTACCGCTAACGAGACTCCACTACAAGCAACTAAATTCCCAACAAAGGATGCGATGCTATACCATCTGATGATGGGATTTCTCAACGCTTGAAATTCTTTCTTGAAGATTACCCCAGGCTAAAATGTTGAATTAACTCTTATTTGATAGGGTGCTGTTTCAATTTCAAGCACAGGACCGCTGCTTAAATCATGGAAGGCAGGAACATTTGTTCGGTGAGGTTCTGAGCGGCTTCCTCAGATGGGAAGCTCCTGACAGCCCCGGTGGTCCAGGAGGAGATGACTCCGGCGGAAATGGCAAAGCGAATGGCCCTCTCTAGCGCATCTTGATCGCGGAGGATAGCAGGGTTGGTGGAGAGCTTGCGGAGGAGTCCTGAGTAGGAGTGCGAGAGTTGACGAAAAGGGGGAGGAAAGGGGAGAGGGGGAGAATTTGGGGGGGAGGAAAGGAGGAAAGGGTGTTTTGTGGGAGAGAGGGGGGATGACTGGGTTCACACAAGGAAATGGAAGGTTCTTGGAGCAGTGTGTGTCTTTGCAGAGCACAACAAGCAGCAAACTCATAAAAACATCCTTTCACGAGTAAGTTTGCTGCTTTTCTGCAATCACCTGAACTATTCCAGAGCAATCACATGCCACGAACGCATCCCCCGACCAGGCTCCATCACACGTCATGGCAGCAAATAGCACATCCTCTCTGCCCTCCACCCACCCCCCCCTCCTTCTGTCACCTTCAATAGAAACACACTCACCTGCCCCGAGGGCATCCCCTGACCCAGCTCTGTCACACGTCATGGCAGAAATCAGCTCATCCTCTGTGCCCTCCACCCACTTCTCCACCCACCCACTCCTCCCCATTTCCCCCCGCCCATCTTTTAATCACACTCCTGAGAAGAGCACTCACCAGCCACAAGGGCATCCCCTGACCCAGCTCTGTCACACGTCATGGCGGCAATCAGCACGTCCTCTGTGCCTCCACCCTCACCTCCCTCACCCCCCTTTTCAACCACGCTCCCTAAAAGAGCACACTCACCAGCCACAAGGGCATCCCCTGACCCAGCGCGATCACACGTCATGGCGGCAATCAGCACGTCCTCTGTGCCCTCCACCCACCCGTGGAAGCCCCTCCCATAGTAGTGCACCTGGCAGAGGGATGGGTGAATTGGAGAAGCCAGTAGGGGGTGGAAGGGTGGGGGGTTTGAACAACCGAGTCGACTCACACGAGCCCTCCACCCACCCGTGGAAGCCCCTCCCATAGTAGTGCACCTGGCAGAGGGATGGGTGAATTGGAGAAGCCAGTAGGGGGTGGAAGGGTGGGGGGTTTGAACAACCGAGTCGACTCACACGAGCCCTCCACCCACCCGTGGAAGCCCCTCCCAGAGTAGTGCACCTGGGAGGTAGAAATGGAAAGGGCAGTAGGGGTTGGAGGGTGGGGGTTGAACAAATGATTTCACTCAATCATACCCTCCACCCACCCGTGGAAGCCCCTCCTATAGTAGTGCACCTGGCAGGAGAGAGGGTGGAACAAGGGAACTTGTAACGCTTTCAAAGCATCATGTAATGACAGCTTGAGTGGAGTGGACTCACACGTGGGAGTGGTTGACATTTCAAACCCCACATGTAATGCGTACGCGCATCAACTCGCGATTACATTCCTCCATACCTGCGCACTATCATGCTTGCATGCTCCAACACTTCAGTTCTATCATACCAGGCTTCAGTATTATCATACCATGAGCCATATCATACCATGAGCCATATCATACCGTGAGCCATATCATACCGTGAGCCATATCATACCATGAGCCATATCATACCATGAGCCATATCATACCATGAGCCATATCATACCGTGAGCCATATCATGAGATTATGGAATTTCCCAACACTCCAGTTCTAGAATCCCATGAGCCAGAAACAAATTCTTGCCCTCATGCCATTGCCCCGCCTATTCCTCTGGCCATCAATGTGACTCCGCTTCTCCCAGACCTCCTACCTTCACGCTTCAACGCCACAATCCTTCCAATCTTACACTCTTCCATACCTGCATGGTCCCATGGGTAACCAGTAGTAAATCCATGCCTTCATGCCACAGCCCAGCCAATTCCTCCGGCTTCCAGTGATACACCCCTTCGCCCTCCCCCTCCTCCCTCTCCCCACTCAGCGTCAGGTACGAGTCCGAAGCATATTGCACCCGAGCCTGCATGCCCCAATGCCCCACTTCCTTCATACCTGCATAGTTCCATGGGTCACCAGTAGTAAATCCATGCCTTCATGCCACAGCCCAGCCAGTTCCTCCGGCTTCCAGTGATACACGCCCTCTCCCTCCCCCTCCTCCCTCTCTCCTCTCAGCGTCAGGTACGAGTCCGAAGCATATCGCACCCGAGCCTGCCGCCGCCGCAAAAAACGCTCCTCCCCAACCAGGAACTCAGCTTCGGCACGGGACACCTCCACCACCGAGGCTCGGCGCCAAACCGGATCCAGCGCTGCCGAGGCTGAGGCTCGGGAGGCCCAGAGGCAGAGGGGGAGGTTTACATCAAGAAAGAGGCGCGGAGGGGATGGGGGAGAGTGGGGGGAGGAGTGCGGGGAGGAGGGGGTGAGGGAGTGTGAAGGTGGTGGTGAGGAAGGGGAGGAGGCGAGTGGGTGGCAGCCTGCGGCGTCCAGTGCGGCAAGGAGTGCAGTGCGGTCGGAAGGGGTGGCGAGAGACATGGAGGTGCAGTGAATCCACGAAGCCTGAAAGGGACGAATAGGGGGGGAAAACGAAGGGAGTGGGATGCGGTTAGAAGGTCTGCTGAAATGGTATGATCAGGGACCAAAAAAGACTGTCATCTCTCATGCTCATACTCATCTCATACTCATCAGACCCACCTGTCTGAGCAAGTCTTGTGCGTCCTCAGATACACCTCCCCCGGATGCTGCCGCTGCTGCCAGCGCCTTCACTCTCCGCTCCCCATCACCCCTCCCCTCTCCTGACTCCTGTCTCTCCTCCTCCTCTTCCTCGCCTACTCCTTCCTCCTGCCCTGCCACGTCACGCGCTTCCTCAGCCAATGGGAAGCGGGCACGCCATGCAGTGCCTGCATTCGAAGCCGAGCGGGTGTTGCTCTTCTTTATTATCACCCCCCCTCTAAGCACCTCTCCTCCTCGTGATTCTAATTCTTCTCCTGATGCTCCATCCTTCGCTTGCGCTTCCGCTTTTTCCAAAGAGATGAGCTTTGCTCCGGTTCTTAATCCACCACGCATGTCCACGCCACGTGTCGACACGCCATTGGACTCCAGAATCTCCAGAAATGTATTCCCCGCCTCGTCATCCCCTACTGCTCCCACGAACGCCACGTCAGCATTCAGCCGCGCCAGCGCGACCGCCACCTGGCACGCCGGCCCACCAGGGGCGCGCGCGAAATCTGGGGGCACCCACTGGAGATTGCGCCACGTGGCAAATATCTCGTCAGGGGCTTGCCGCGAGCTGCGGCGCACAACAGGAACGAATTCCCGAACCGCCTCCCCCACGCAAACCACCTGACTGGGGCCCGCAGGGGCGGGCGGCGGAGTGGGGGGCAGATTTTGTCGCCATGTGGGAGGGGGAAGCCCCCCCACCGGCCTGCTTTCTCCAACAGCGCTGGCGCTCGGCTGATCCTCGTTTCCTTGCAGCGATCCCTCGACATAATCGTCAGTTTCCGCATCCGATCCCTCGATATAGTCATCCGAACTTGAATAGTCGTCCGCTTCAGTCACAATCTGTCCCGAATCGTCCTTCAATGCCCTGCCCGATACAGTCACGATTTCGAATGAAGCTTCCTCGACTCCCTCGCGTAAGTTAAACGAGCCTGATTGGTCGAAACTGTCACCTGGAACGGCTAAGGCCCTCTGGAACCCTGAACCCTCTCCGTCAGACCCGCTGGATTCGTCAGAGCTCTCCGACCACGAAGCTTCGTCGCCGCGGTTTGGAAAGGTCGACGAGCTTTCCGAGCCTGCAGAACTTTCCCTCGAGGCTTCGTCTTTCGGGGACCTGATTTTCCGGGGCCTGCCGCGTCGCCTGGAGCCGACGCGCTGCGAGGGTCCATCCACGTCACTCCCGCTCGCTGACACGTGGACTCGCAAGAGTTTTGTCGAGGGATACCCAGCACCAGAAATGTGACTATACGGAGGCAAGGCGACCAAACGATACGCGTGAGAGAGCGGAGCCTTTCGTGGTAACAGGGTAACGCACTTGTACGGGGTAAGCGGTCTACGTAAGCCCAGCGTGAAGAATGCGACGGGCGATGCTACTGCTTCGGCAGCGGCGAGCGGTGCGGCCGCCATGACTCACTCGAATCGACTCGGCCCAACTCCGCTCGCCGCGATTCGAATCCGTGATGCCTCGCGGTGCACTCCAGATGCCGGAGTGCTGTGCGTCGTTACCTAAGAATCCCTTAGGCGAAAAAGGTGAGCGGCAGGATAATATTCAGGTTTCAGGGCTTAACCATTGTTCTCGATAGGGAGACGTCGATTGTTGTTAAGGGAGACCTAGTCGACAGACACACCCACTGTTTGCTGCCCTGGCAAGAGAATCAACCAGTCAATTTCTAGCTGGGGATAGAGCCAAGAAATTTATGATTATTATTGCTTAGATTGGAAACATCACAAGTTGTAACAACATATTCCATGAAGTGACAGCCACGTAAGTGATACAGATTATATAGGCCAAATAAATATTTGGTTCGTGTTGATTAGTAACAATATTAGGTAAAGAAACAAGCATTATACATTCAGAATGAATGTCATTTTAAAGTGAGGAAGTTTCACATCTTCACAGATTACACATGTTGGTCACGAATGTCATGTTTTGTTGTTGATTATTTCTTGATATCGGAACGTTTTAACACGAGTCCTGGCTGAATTCGAAACTGTAGGGAAACGAAAATCGCCATCCATCAACGGGACGGACACGACAACGAATGATGGCCCTTGTTGTCAGCGTGCTCCCGCCCACGGCTGAGCGTGAGGCTGATTGCTTTGCTTATGAATTTCCTGGAATCTCAAAAAATTAATGAGATTGTCGGGATGATGCTCGCGATGACGCAAGAATGGGCCCAATCAGCAGTGGTATTGTCGCTTTTGCCTCGCCCTTGCCAGCCTTGAAATGTTGCCCTCGATAGATTCCCGTTTGGCCAGCTGGGCCAACACAGATGAGACGTTTTGCAACAGTTGCTCCCGAATGGCATGCCATCCGTCTGGGGTTTATTTTTTTTGCCCCGGGCAGTTTGTCGTTTTCTCGAAACGACTTTGTCGTTAGCGTGCTTGCTACATTCCGTTGAGATATACTACGCTGTTTCTTGCTTGTTGCTGCTGATTTGTAACCGACAAACAGGCATCGATGCATCCGTCCGTCCACCTTCAGCGATTTGTTGGAAAGCACTGCCGCCCTCTTAGCTGGAAATCTGTCCAATCAGAACCTAGTTTACTTACCAGGCTAGGGACCCGTTGTCATGTTGTTCGTGGTACAGTGTCTCGTTCAGGCATCCATGTCTCCTTGCTGGACAGCAGTGATCACTGTAATCGGCGACCTTATCATGAGCACGTTATCAACCAATCAGCTGACTGCCACGCTGTACCTTGCCTAAAAAACGAAACCACGGGGCTCCCATATCCACAAATCATCGAATCAATCTCTCGAGTCGCCATGCCATGTGAAAGTGCAGTTTTCCTCCCTGCAGCTTCAGCAGCGAGCGACTAGGTCCAGAAGCATGTGACACCAACTTTGATGGTTAGAGCAGGCCCTTGCCAAGGTTCCATCCGCTCTCCCAACTTCGCTGGGTTCGCCACCCCCGCGATTCCTTGCGAGTCGCATTTCCGTCTGGTTTGCACACATTAGAGCTCACATCCCATCACGCTGTCTCCTCATTTGAGCTCGCATATTCCATTCATCAGCTTAAAAAAAATCGCCAAGCCTGTCTTGGTTCTTAGTTCACTCATACTTCGCCGCACGTGTGCTAATAAGCACTTGGCTCTTCACTCACAGAATGTCACTTCCTGCCAATCACGCCGACGCAAGCACACATAACGATCTGTTCTTAAACCTTGCTCTGAGAGCCTTAGGAGCGAATCCCGTAGTCTCGAGTGGCAGTAGAGACACTCTGGAGCAAGCTCGCGCGTCTAGCGACGTCACGGACTGCAGCGCGAGAAGTACCGAGAACGTCGGCTTGAACCCGCATCGAGCGGCGCCTTCTCAACCCTCGTCATCTTTTCAGAACCAACAAATGCAGCAACAACAGCAGCAGATGCAGCAGCAGCAGCAACAGCTTCAGCTGCTTTTGCAGCGGCTGCAGCAGCAAGCAGAACCAGCCGTTGCGGCTGTAGCCGAGAGGCTTCAACCGCAGCCGCCAGCGCCGCAGCAGCAGCAGCAGCAGTTCGGCTCTCCAGCTCCAAACGCTGCGCTTGTGTCGTCGCTGCTACAGCAGCTCGCGTCAACCTACGCCGCATCTCCCGCCGCTACAGCCGCTGGGAACGTTGACTTCCGCTCTACGCGCCAATCTGCGCTTCCCGCCGGCTTCGTTGCGCCGACGCTGCCGTCGCAGGCGACGACAGGCGCAACCAGAGGTGCGACATCCGCCGACGTGGCGGATGCTGCGATAAATTCGAAGAACGCAGCGTTGTCGGACTCCAATCAGGCCGCTGCGCTGCTTCAGATCGCGCGCCTCGTCGCCGCATCTCCTGGCTCTCGCGGCCCTCTCGGCCAGCTTCTCAATGCGGCGGAGGGCGGTGCGTCTCTCTTCCCCTCATCGTCCGTGCGGCCGACTTTCGCGTCAGATGCGCCGCCCTTTGCGGCGCATGATGCGCCACCGTACACGTCAATCTATCCTACACTCGCAGTGGGAGCCCCTCAAACCACATCCGCGGCTGCATGGCTCAATCCGCGGAACTCTCCATCGCCGGAGGGTCCGCGCGCCAGCCTCCGCGATCTGAACATCGCCGCCGCTGCGCCTGGTAGCCCGCAGGGGCGGGGAGTCGGGGGAATTGGCGCGTATGGGGAAGCGGCGAGCAGTGAACGTGCATCGCTGAAGCGGAAATCTTGGGATACGGTTGATAGCAAGGAGCGTAGAGCCCCGAATTCGACGTTTCCCACCAGCAGGGCTGCTGGAAAGAGCTTTGGGGCTTTGTTCTCTCCCCCAGCAGGGTTTAATCCTGGAGTTTTCAGCTCCGAAGGAGCTGGAGAGTTCCGGTTGAGTGAAAGCTCGGAAGAGGAAGGGGAAGGTAAGGAAAGCGGCAGGGCTTTTACGGAGGGTCAAGGGGAGTGGGAGAATGGTGAGGCGGAGGGGGAAGGGGAGGGAGGAGAGGTGAATGGCAACAAGAAGAAAATGCGGCTTACAAGGGAGCAACTATCAATGCTGGAAGACTTTTTCAAGAAACATCCCCATTTGACGCCGCGGCAAAAGGCGGGCTTGGCGAAGAGTTTGGGCGTGCGGGTGCGGCAGGTGGAGGTGTGGTTTCAGAACCGGCGGGCCCGCACCAAGGTGAAGCAGACAGAGGCGGAGCTTGAGGGGCTGAGGCGACGCTGCCAGCAGCTGGCTGAGGAGAATAAACGGCTCAAGCTGCAGCTGGCCACACGGGAGAGGAATGAGGAGGAAGTCCAAAGAAAAGAGATGGTGGGAACCTCAAGGATCATGACTGGGAAGGCAAGCGAGAACTCCATGAAGGCTTTTGAAACAAGGGGGGCAAAGTGCAGCTTTTGTCATGCAGCTAAGGGATTGGAAGTGGAGGATACACCTGTTGAAGAGGGAGAAACCCCATTTATCACTTTTTTGTAAATAGACTTCAGTTCACTATTATGTGCTGTTACGAGTGCAATTGAGTGAACGAACGAGAATTGCACAATCGAAGCAAGAGTACAATGAGCGAAGGCATGAGCGAAGAATATATAGCGAAACTGCACTGGTAACGGTACCGGTAATGGACTGTGGTTGTCGCGCGACGGGCCTGGGACTGAGGTTGGGAAAAAGTGTCGAAGCGGAGGCCCGGAGCGCGGGTTACCCGCCGAGCCGTGAGGTCGGGGTGCGATGTGCGAAGGTGGCGGGCGGATTGACGATGCGAGGGTTGCGAATGGTAACGGTGCTGACTGTGGTGCTACAGTGATGTACGCGTTGAGCAGGGATGCGAAGTAAGGAAAAAGGAATTTTCCTTACACTACCCCCCCCCCCCCCCCCCCCCCCCTAAGGAGGTCCTCCTTACGAAAGTGCGTGTACATCCCTGAAATTTCGGCTGCGCAGATACTCGGCGAGGACGGGGTGGTTTTCGATTCTGTCCAGGGGAACCCAATTGTCTTCGGTGGGTGTACGGTCCTTCCAGCGGAGTAAGAACTCGATCCTTCGGGCTCCTCAAGGGTCGCGAACTCTGTGACTCAAGTGATTGCGTGGCAGTTGGCTCGTGGACGGGACGTAAGGGCGAAGTAGGCTGACGTAGAATGAAGGGCTGACGTACCAGTCAGCAGGGAGGAGGAGGTGGGTGGTGACGGGTGTAAGCATGTGGCTTATGCGAAATGGCCCGCAGTATCGGGGGCGGAGTTTCGGGGTGATGGGCAGTCGGAGGTTCTGAGTGTCAAGTAAAACTAAGTCGTCGGGCCGGTAAGTGACAGGTCTGCGGTGGCGGTCGGCGTTGCGTTTCGATGATGTTTGATTTTTTTATTGCGTCTACTGCCCGGGTCCGT